ATTCCAGCTATTCGCTGATGTGAATATGTCGAACATTCTGCGTAAAAAGTCCTTTTTTTCACCAAACGTCGACTGTTCTCATGACGCGATATGTGTACGGTAATACCCAATTAAGCAACTGTGTTTTCCTGACTCGATGTTTGATGTGCATCTAGTACGCTTGTGCACGCTGAGAGATTTTTGGTCATGTTGTAGAGGATCATAAATGTTCTTCTGCAACAAACACGTTTTCTTTGTTACCTCTTTTCAACAACAGCACCATAGTTATTTTTAGAGTTCACCTCTTTTCTTATCAGATATTGTAGAGTTGTTCGACATTTGAACCTTTTTGAACTTTTTTTTATGTTCTGTTGCTGCCTCTAGGCAATATTACGTTGAAATTGGAAAGGAGCCAAAACCAGTTTATGACTTGTTTCAAGGCGATCAACCGTGCTAGTGTCTGTGGTTTCGAGTTTTTTCTCTTCGGCGAGCGCGCAGTCTCTATGGGCGGTGCTGGTGATAATGTCGAACGCGAAAAAAATTTATTGCGCCTGTCAATGAAGGTCGTTATTCTCTCCGTAACACTTTCCAATTCTTTCTGATGTTATTGCAGTGTCCCAATTGCAGGTTAGCTTCGATTGGTCGTTACTCTAGCTATGTTAATTTGTGTTTACTTTGCCTAGGTGTTCTACAAATTTCGATTTACTCGCCTATATTTATGACCTTCAAATCTAGAAAAATATCTATGTTATAGTCTTTTTTTGAGAGCCCGCGGATGCTGTTGTGTCCACAACAGGGCAAAGGGCGCGCCGATGCAGCGACATCTGGCGTCAAGCTACTTGGCAGTTTAACCGCATTTCTCATTTTTTTTTCCTACGTTTTCTTCGTACTTACGTTTTCTACTGCACCATGATAGTAGAGGAAGTGTTCCCAAAATGAATATCCTAGCAAACTTATGTTAAAGACTAAAGATCACTCGTAGGTCGGGTCAAAAAAAAAACAGACAGTTCTTCTTTGGAAAGATGAAGGAGCTACATCTACATTTCTTCTTTTTTTTCTTTTTAACAACCTTTTATTCGCCCTGCCCCTTTCCTTTTCTACTCCCCCTTCGTTCTATATGGCTCCAGTCTCACCCTCCGTGAATGTCAAGCTCAATCTGATCCCATTCTGACGTCAAACAGATGGATTGTGGCATTATATAATATTGCTTACCTCATTTTTAATGAAAGTACACTTGATGATCAATTTACATTTCCTAAGCATTTGGACAAAATTGATATGTTGAAAGGATTTGAAAAAAGAGCTACTCTATGAGCAAAAAAATCACGTACCTCTAGATGTGAAAAGGTTAGGATTGATTCAGATCCATTTGCGTACATGCACGAGACCTTTAAGATATATGTTTCCTACATTTGGTAGGTGTAGCGCAATTGCTTGCAGCGCAGCACCTACCAGCACGATTGCACGTTCAAAGCTAATTGAGCGTACCTTGAGAACAAGAAAGAAATGGAATGGAGAGCAACTTTATAGGTATTCGTATCTTTCTAAAACCCGTAAATTTGATGCAGCTACGAAACAAGATTGAACATAACTTTGTAAATGTTAAGTCTCAAAACCTATTTTATCCTTCGTCCTAATTTAGGTTGGGAGTATTTCGCGCTTTCTGGCTGTCAATATAGTCGATTTGCTTTCCGTCTGTATAATTTGGATATTATATGTCACTGAATACTAACCACCAAGAAAGAAGGCAACCTGTAATCCAGTCGTAATCATAGGGGTCGAAGGACTTTGATCTTCAGTTTTTTTTTTGGTAAAATCCTGTCGCGAATATCTATATCTACCATACAGCATCCAAGCTAGCAGATATTTACATTTTTTGCACTGAAATATCTGAAAGCTCAAGCGAATAGCTTTTATTCTTGAAGCACACTTATTGACTG